AATCTATATCCTCACCATCAGAGCTATCTGTACATCGACCGTCAAAACGGCTGGATCATCTGAAATTCGATTAGGTAAGAACTGTATCACCTATTTGTATGCATCCAGGTACTATCTATGTTCTATCAATGCCCCAGTGGCTGGCGTTGCCGTCGTCTATTTGGTGTTAAAGGTGCTTCAATGTATATATATCTCCGGTGTTTGGGCTGGCGTTAAAAAGGGAACTATTTCAATAGACTGTTCTATTCAGTTGTCTTCATCTCCATCCATCTATCTGTAAATCCATCTATCTATCCTCATTAAATGTGGTTGCTATCGATATCTCACCAGCCACTCTGTATTGCGTTGCCTTATCAGAATCACCAACTAGGGGTCGCGTGCCAAGACGGTGACGACGAACGCCCATGGAAACATCGCTGCCTCCTTCAAAAGCCAAAAGCCATCGACATCACCAAACATCGCCGAACAATAACAACCGCAACTGGTCCATTGGACGGATACGCTCTATTTACTCTCGTTCGCAGAGCTTGACTGCTGCCAGGCATCGGCTTTCTCTCGGTTCAACGAGCTCTGCGCCCGTTGCTGACCCCCTCCGTCGCCCGATTGCTACCATAAATGTCCCTTGGTTACGGCCCATCTACAAGAACCGCAGCAATGAGCAGGTGAGCAGCGCCGGCTAGAACAAGATAGGACTTGTTTGAATATAACTGTTCGCTCAGATGTAGCTCACATATTTCTATAGAACCGAAGCAGACCTTACGGTCAACATCCGCAAAGCTACTAGCATCGGTACGACCGCCGCCCTTTCACCTCTCACTTACAGCCTGCATTCTATCTACGTTGCAAACTGGACAGTTACTAATGAGACTTGCGATCGGTGAACAGAGGAAACGGCTCCCAAACGTACGTCCCCGCTGCCTGACCGTTCCGCGTCATACATACTGGAAACATACGGTTTAACAGTGGTTGAATAGGGAAACATGTGCGGAGCTGCATCGTATATACCTGGGACCATAAGTCCTCGGTATCCTTCTGGTCTGGGATGAAAGTGTGAGTTCCGTGGACTAGGACTCCGGTCTTACTATCAGCTCACATCCACCTCACTTACCCCTTAGTTGTTTTTATGCGCATTTACTAACTTTGATATTGGTTACTAGACAACCTATTCTAGCCGATGAAGTCCAGACATTTAAAGCCCTTATTACGATTCATAAAGTCCTGCAGGAGGGTCATCCTGTTACCGTAAGGGAGGCGCAGGAAAATGTTACATGGTTGGACAGTTTGATGAGAGGGGTAACGGGTGAAGGGCTACGAGGTGGGTGAACTCATGCCTAGATACGGGGCGCATGCTCTGTTACTGGAGAAATGCAATTTTACGCGGAGAGAGGAGGCTGATACAGGTGACAGGCTATGGTCCGTTGATTAGAGAATATGTTTTCTTCCTGGAGTCCAAGCTAGCATTCCATCGACAGCACCCAGAATTCAATGGTAAGTGTTTTTTCTAGTGTTAGGTATATTTACATACCACGAGTGCTAACCATGAAATATACAGGTCTCTTTGAATATGAGGAATATATCAGTCTTAAGTCGATCAATGATCCGAACGAGGGGTACGGTGGTCTCTTCCAATCCAGTCTGATTGATTCTAACCTGATATAGATACGAGACAATTACCGACCTTATGACACTCCAGGACCAAATCGACACTTTCCAGAAACTCATCTTTTCGCACTTCCGAGGCAGTGCAAATAATGAATGTAGAATATCAGCGTTGGTGCCTCTTGTTCAGGAGAGCTATGGAATTTATAAGTTCATTACCAGCATGCTACGAGCAATGCACTCCAGTAAGAATACCCAATACTTCGTCTTACGTGTCTTTGAGATGCTAATATCTCAATATAGCAACCGGTGATGAAGACGCATTGGAACCTCTTCGAGGCCGATATGATGCCCAGTATTACCGACTGGTTCGCTTTTATTATGAATGTTCAAATTTAAGATACCTTACCAGCTTGATATCTGTCCCGAAACTTGCACCACAGCCACCAAATCTGCTCGCAGGGGAAGAGGATAAGCCCAGCCTTCCGAAGCGTCCAACTAACGAACCTGAGAGGGAGCCTACTCCACCACCGAAGTCCACTATCCCTGATGCTGAACCAATCAACGATTTTTGGTCGACAGAGGCCAAACGACAGCAGGAGGAGTATGAAGCCGAACAGCGTCGACTACAAAGCCAGTGGGAAGAACAGCAGCGCCAGCAAATGCTTGCACAGCAACAGGCGCAGCGAGAATTCGAAGAGCAGCAACGACTTCAAGCGGAACAACAGAGACTAGCCCAGGAACAACTCATGGCGAACCAGTACCAACAACAGACCCAAGGAAGGCTGGCAGAGCTTGAACAAGAGAACCTTAACGCCCGGGCACAGTATGAACGAGACCAGTTGATGCTCCAGCAATATGACAAGCGTGTGAAGGACCTCGAAGAGCAACTAAACCAGATCAACTCAAACTTCAGCTCACAAAACTCTTCGAAGGACGATCTCATTCGATCCCTCCAGGAACAACTCAACACTTGGCGTACGAAATATGAGGCGCTGGCTAAGCTGTACTCTCAGCTGCGACAGGAGCATCTGGATCTTCTCCAAACCACCAAGTCTCTGAAGCTAAAGGCGGCTTCTGCCCAGGAAGCAATTGACAAGAAGGAACGTCTCGAGCGGGAGATGAAGACAAAGAACTTGGAACTTGCCGATATGATTAGAGAACGTGATAGAGCCCTGCATGAAAAGGATCGTCTAACGGGAGGCAATCGGGAGGAGCTCGAGAAGCTGAAGAGGGAGCTCCGAATGGCTATCGAGCGGGCGGAAAATGCCGAACGTGCGAAGGGATCAGAAATCTCCGCGATGCTTTCTAAGTATAATCGCGAGATGGCCGATCTAGAGGAGGCTCTAAGGGTACGTTTCTCAGTTCTCTCGTGCAATGATTATGCTAACAAACCCATCTATAGAGTAAAACACGAGCGCTTGAGGAATTCCAATCTAGCAGAGGCGACTTGAATGCAGACCATGAAATCATGCTCCGAGAAAAGGATGAGGAGATCGAGATCTATAAGTCTGGAATGGAGCAGGCATTGACTGAACTAGAGGAGCTGAAACTGGTATGTACCACCTTTTCACTGTGTCTGGTATCAGAGCTGACGTTGAACTTACAATTATAGAGCCAAGGAGATGCAGATAAGGCCCTGGACAGTCAAATTGACGATGTCCTGATTGGCTCTATTTCCAAGGTCAACGATATCATCGACTCTGTTCTTCAAAGTGGTGTACAACGAGTGGACGATGCACTTTACGAGCTGGATTCGACCATGCAAGCTGGAAACCAAAATGCATCGCTTTCTTATGTGCTATCGCAGATTGAAAAGGCATCTGCCAGCGCCACTGAGTTCTCGACCGCTTTCAACAACTTCATCGCTGATGGACCAAACAGTGAACATGCCGAAATCATCCGCACTGTGAGCGTGTTCTCTGGGTCCATCGCCGATGTCCTTAGCAACACCAAGGGTTTGACTCGATTCGCGACTGATGACAAGAAAGCCGATCAGCTTGTAGGTGCTGCAAGATCTCCTGCCGAGTCCACCATGACATTCTTCCGTGCTCTGCAGTCCTTCCGTCTTCAGGGCTTGGAGCCCACTCAGAAGACTGATGTGGTTATTAATAACAACCATGAAGTCCTCATGAACCTCCAGAAGCTCTCCAAGCTTGTGGATACTTTCGCTCCAAAGAGCAACAAGCTTACCGGTGCCGGCGATCTAGGCGATATCGTCGACCGAGAGCTGACCAACGCCGCCAACGCAATTGAAGCCGCAGCACAGAGACTAGCTAAACTCAAGAAGAAGCCTCGTGATGGCTACTCGACCTACGAGCTCCGCATCCATGATTCTATCCTGGAAGCATCTATTGCGGTAACAAATGCAATCGCGGAACTGATCAAAGCTGCCACTGCATCGCAGCAAGAAATCGTCAAGGAGGGCCGAGGAAGCTCTTCGCGGACGGCGTTCTACAAGAAAAACAATCGCTGGACAGAGGGATTGATATCTGCTGCAAAGGCCGTGGCAACTTCAACTAACACCTTAATTGAAACCGCCGACGGAGTTATTTCTGGCAGAAACTCGCCTGAGCAATTGATCGTTGCTAGTAACGATGTGGCCGCTAGCACTGCCCAACTTGTGGCGGCCAGTCGAGTCAAGGCTACATTCATGAGCAAGACTCAGGATAGACTAGAGACAGCTAGCAAGGCTGTTGGATCCGCTTGTAGAAGCTTGGTCAGACAGGTACAGGATATCATTGCTGAGAAGAACCGCAATGAGACCGAAACCATCGATTACACCAAGTTGAGCGGACATGAGTTCAAAGTACGAGAGATGGAGCAACAGGTATGCTTATTAATCCTTACCTCTGTATCTATGATATGTCAAGTATCTAACATGGTTTATAGGTTGAAATTCTGCAACTTGAAAATGCGCTCAGTCAAGCCAGAAAGCAACTTGGCGAGATGCGCAAAATATCGTACATGGAGTAACATGCTTGCGCTTCCGGGTTCAAATTTATATAAACTCATCTCTGCCAAACCCAATATTTTCTCCACTTCGATCACTATGTACGAAAGCGACAAAAGAATACAGACTTCGTCACAACCTGCGACTGAATTTCAACTTGTAGTATTTACTGTTAATTATCAAGGCGCTTTTTGACAATAAGCCAGAGAATTTCCGAGTCGATTCCGTACCTACTGATTAGCAAGTTGCAGCGAATGAGTTTTATCGAAAAGTTGGAAGTTAAAGATAAGACATATATTTCTGTTTCAACAATTTCGACCTATTCTACATATGATGTTATACCTCGAGTGTATAAAAGCAGCAGGTTTTCCCTCCAAAAACGTTGGTATAACATTGCTTTTGGCGGAATGCGTCCATTAACGATTGGATTTATTGACTGAAAGCGAATTTAAGTGGTCTTGTCCTTGTTGTGGTAGTTGACGTCGGAGTTCCAGCTAAAGTAAACTAAGGTTAGTAATTTCGATACGCTGTGCTATAATTCACGTAGCCAAAAAGAAAAAGTCGTAATACTAACAAGAGAGTCTATGAGAATTTTGTCAGCATTGTTAGTTTTCCACATAGAATATCATTCAACTTCACGTACCTTATCACCATCTCCCCAGAAGAAGTTCTTGGTTCGGATGTTCTGGTAAGGGTACTCGACACGGTCCTCCAAAGCAGGCATATGAGACCAATGCTCCCAGTGCTCAGTCCAGAGGTTGTATGCGTTGATGGAACCGAGGATTAGGGTGGGAATCACGGCGCTGCCACACAGTTAGTTATCCGGAGGTCGGACGTTCGGGTCATCGAGGTAAAACTAACTAGATGGATAGCTTGCGCCATAAATCTGCAAATGATTAATTAGTCCCTGTATTCCTCGTCTGACGGTATTATCTTTCCGCTTACCGCTGGTGGAGGCAGCGTGAGCCTTAACGGCGGCTCTCTCACGGAGGAACTCGTTATCGTGAGGAGTCGAGCTGTTCAATCGACGCTGGACGAAGTTGCGGGCGACGGGAGATCGGATGCTGGCCCTCTGGGCAGCGCGCAGGATAGGCTGACGGGAAAGCATGGCTGATTCAATTGGTACTCTGAAGAGTCTCAATGATTGATCGTGGTGAAGTCAAGGAACGAAGTGAAGTTGAAGTTGAAGTCGCTTGTGGTTCAGAATTAGTGGCTAATGCTTATGTAATCACATGGCCTGATCGTCATCGCGACTTCGAACGTCAAAAGGGAAAAAGCCATCGAACATCGAGAAACCAGCTGAAGACCAGGAAGAAGAGGGAGAAGGCAGCCAAACAATGTGAGGATGATAGTATGCGGTGAAAGATGGTGCTGCGATTAACAACATGGAACGGTTAGTTTGGTGGCTACATTATTGATTGGCGAAACTGACGACGCTGTAGTAAACGGGATAAGGTACCATAGGCGCTAGGCAGCAGCCCAGACAACAAGGGATATACTGATAATTTATTCCCAGGAACCCGTTTTCATACGAACCATGGAGGGGAAACCGGACGTTTGGGGTACGCCCTAACCCGTTGGATGTTGACTGAATACTCTTTTAATGCGTGGTCTACAGGCAATGTTTGATATCCTGGAGGCAGATATTGTGGTTTTCCAGGAAGCAAAGATCCAACGGAAAGACTTGCAAGATGACATGGTTCTTGTGTCAGGCTGGGACTGCTATTTTAGTCTCCCAAGGCAAAAGAAAGGTATATACGTTTTGTATGAGTTTTGCCAGTGTTTTTGTTGACAGTCTCAAGGCTATTCCGGGGTTGTAATATATACCCGCAGTTCGAAATGTGCTGCTATCCGTGCCGAAGAAGGCGTAACTGGCGCACTTTGTCCACCAAGCTCCAGAACCCCCTTTCGCCAGTTATCTGCTTCTGAGCAGATTGGCGGCTATCCCTCTATTGAACAGATGGAGGAGTTATCCGAAGTAGACCCTATTACTGTCGATTCTGAAGGGCGATGTTTGATCCTCGAATTCCCTGCTTTCGTGTTGATAGGAGTTTACTGCCCGGCGGATCGAGACGAAACCCGAGACGATTTTAGGCTTGGTTTTTTTAATTTACTTGAAGTCCGAGTGAGGAACCTTGTCAAGATGGGAAAGCGGGTCATTTTGGCAGGTGATCTTAATACCTGTGCCGGCCCCATTGACTCAGCTCCAGCTCTAGAAAGGATTAGAAAAGGCACTGAAACTGAAGAAGAGTACCTATCTTATCCTGCTAGACGCATTTTCAATAGGCTGGTGCGGCCTGTGGGCTCAACCGGGGATACACATGATACCGAGTCACCCCCTGTTCTGCGAGACCTCTGTAGGGAATTTCACCCCAGCCGGACTGGCATGTATACATGCTGGAACCAAAAGGTAAATGCTCGACCAGGCAACTATGGATCCAGGATCGATTATATTCTGTGTAGTGACAATATCAGGTCCTGGTTTGTTGAGTCTAACATTCAAGAGGGGCTTATTGTATGTGTCAAATTTGGACTTATTTCCCCATCGTTCAACAACTTACTAATCCCTAACGAACAGGGCTCGGATCATTGTCCTGTTTATGCATCTATAGGCGATAGGGTGCCCTTTGACGGGAAGGATGTTCATATTTTGGACATCATGAATCCCAAGGGAACATTCGACGACGGGGTAGAACAACCTCGCTCTAACAAGATAACCCCCTTAGCACTATCAGGAAGATTGATACCAGAGTTTGACCGCCGAAGGAATATCAAGGATATGTTCCGAAATCATTCCCTGTCTCGGAACAATAGCGAAGTAAAGATGTCAACGACAACTGATACTCTGGCTGGGTCGGAAATTCCTGGACCGGCCTCGCAGACCAAGAGTGCACAAGAAAACAAGACTGCACGAGTGACAATGAATCATGCTCCCAAGCGATCACACAGCACAGGAGTTCAGGCCCCTCCATCTAAGAGACTAAAGCCAAAGGGCCGACCATCTGGCGCTCGAAGCAATGGTCAACAAACTCTTGTTGGATTTTTCAAGTCCGAAAGGACCAGTCGTGCCGTCAGCGAGGAGAATGCCACGGCTTCTAGTGACTCGCCACAGGAAGCCCCAGCTGAAGTCAAAATAACTCCCGCCAGTGAGTTGGCATCTACGGCGCAGAACAATGATTCAGTTCCAACTGCAGTGACGACCTCTCCCGACAATTCAGTTGTTCCCTCATGTAGCCCGACGGAATCGTGGTCAAAGGTTTTTACAAGGAAGCCAGTGCCAAAGTGTGAGGGCCACCATGAGGATTGCATCTCTCTTGTCACCAAAAAGCCAGGAATAAATTGTGGACGATCATTTTGGATATGTCCGAGGCCGCTTGGCCCGAGTGGTGATAAAGAGTCGGGAACTCCATGGCGTTGTCCAACTTTCATTTGGAGCAGTGATTGGAGGTCAAGCTGACTAGCTATAATGAAGGAATATTAGCCTAACCGCGTCTCTCCTCAAATTTGGACATCTATCGTACTCTCTCTTTTGGCGGCTTTTGCCTCCATTTTTGCTGTATTAGTCAGCATCTCAACCTCCAACTCAACTACGCTTTGGTATCAACATGTTAATATGTCATGATTGCGATCATGACGGCTGTGAACATGGGCCAAGCTAGAGAGTAGATGATAGCTATACCTAGTGCTGAAATACCTGCATATACCCCCTTGCTTTGTAATGTTCAATTAGATTCTAATTGATAGTTTTTGAGATACAGGCTCTGTTAATATCCTGTAGTTAACAAGGCCATCATCATACATATTTTGGCCGTAGAGTGAATTGCTGCTATTGCTAGTGACTCACTGCTCTATTTACCTGCACAAGGCCAGGTTCACCTATCCTCAAGTATCAGGGCGTATCTCGCCGTTTGGAGCGTATGCCGGCCTCGTCTTGGCCCTGCCGGTGACATAGTATTGCTATCTCCTTTATGTTTGCATACTCGCATCGAATGCCCGCACATAGGTATCCTTCGCGCTAGTGGTCGTTTTGTTTTGATTTCCCTCTTAGGAAACGCGGTGGCATAGCAACCAGAAAAATTTTCATTTCCCCCTTGGAGGCACGAACTTCTCCTTATAAAAACAAACACCAACTCTCTCAAATTCCAACCCTCAACTTCCAAGCTGCAGTTTCTATCCCACAGCCCCCAGGCTCCAATAACCACCTGCAACGACCCAGGATGCTTGAGATTCCACCTCCTCCGCCTCCGAAACCGCGTGTCGTCCTGCCGTGGTCCGAGTATGATCCTGGCTTGCTCAACGGTGAGAATCTAGCACTCACGACTCCTAATATCCATATACTAAACATTTTTTTACAGGAGACGGCGTTGCCGTCCGCAAGTGTAGCACTGACTACCTTGCCTCTATTTACAAGACGTGCTTGGACACGTACCGTCCGAATGAAGTCAATCTTTCTCCGGAGGAAGCAGAACGCTTGACTGAAAGTGTTCGCCATGAGCTGACTAGGCTTACCTCTCATCCTGATCTTTTCCCCACGCCCACCGCCCATGAACGCTTTTTCAAACTCCTCCAGGAAAGCGTTGCTAGAGTGGTCAAGAAGCGTCAGGACAAAGAGAACGAGTCCATTGAAGAGAGTATCCGTCTCCGTGCCAACATTCTTGCTAGAGAGGAGGAAGAGATCTTACAGGAAATCAACCGCCCTTCCTTTAAGCCCGGGCTAAAGCCTTGGGAACAATTCCTTTTGAAGGGTAGCCCTGGCAGTGGCGTTGTACTTCCCCCAGATCCTCCAAACGGCTATGTGCAGATGATGCCAATAGGGGGAGTGGCACTCCACTTGAGGTGGTTAAGAGAAAACTATACGGCTTCTAAAGAATATGCGGAGGCAAGTCAAATAACCCAATTTTTGGTATGACAATCTAACTCTGTGTAGTCAAACCCCCCTTCAGCTGACTCTTCTACCGAAGCCCGAGACCCTGAGGAAACAGTAAGTTAGACTTCACTTGACCTGGTGGCCGATCTTCTCACCTCTCTATAGTACAATATGTTCAAAAGGGCCCTTTATCCTTCACACAACGTTACGCACCAAACCAGCTGGGTACGCTAAGATCTCAATCCCAATACATTTTACCCCATTGCTCACGCTGAACAGATCTCTCTGACACCCAATCCCTATTTCGAGGTACGTATGGTATGCCTAAATATCAGCATCTACTTAGACGACCTGACACCTTTCAAGCGGCGTATGCCCATCCCAAAGCATGATCGCGTTATTGATCGCTTAGAGAGTTTTAATGCTCTTATTGGTGAGAGCTCCCTCGACCTTGGTTATGTGAAGTCCGCACTAATAATGACAAAGAACGCCTCGAAGGTGAGGAGCCCACGAATTATAATGGTGATCCCTCCGGTGTTAGAGCCATGCTCTACCGCACAATCGTGGAAGATATCCCAGACAATACCGAGGAAAACGTTGCTTAACGAAATTACTGTTGGCAAGAGGGTCAAATGTCGCGTATTTTGATGTTTCACGGTGGACATGGTGCAGAAGTAATGTGGATTTTTGTACTGATATCATTAAATCGTCGAGGTTAAAGTACAATCAAGTGTCTGCCTGTTATTATCTTTTATATGGTCCGTTGATCGTCTAGAAACTGTATTGTTGGCATGACAGAAACTACTGTTTCTCAGCAGCTGATCACTCTGATTCGCCCTTGATCAGTTAATAGTGCAGGGGGAGGTTTTGTCAACCAGCAAAGGGGTTTCTATGTACGAGATGGTTCTAATGACTTTCAGGACCTCATAACGCAGTAATAGTGATTCATTGTTTGCTAGTGTACAGTTGATCTATCTAGTTACCACCCACGATCCTTCCCATCTCGTATCTATTCCGTAGCGCCCCATCTGTTCATCGAATCATTGAATACAAAGGTCATAATCATTATCCCCACCAAACACCAGTATGAGCATCAATTCCTGTTTTCAATGCAAAGAACCACAAGCCTCACTGAGCAACAAGCCTCACTGGGCATCATCAAGGAAGTATTCGTCGAAATCGAAATCAACATCAGTTGTCCAATCATTTTGAGTTGAGTCTTCAGCAGGTGGTTGCGGTGCATTCAGCTGCTGAGGTAATTGCTGAGGCAATGGAGGAATAGGAGCCAGCTGGTTGACTGTAGACATAGAATTTGTAGGTGAATGGCGACGACGACCATAGGACAAGAACTCTCCTCCTTGAATACCCATAACAAATTGGTCGCTTTGATTGGCAAGAGCATCATGGAAGGCCGAACTCGTAGTGACTGGAGGAGAAGGGGGCAGTTGTTCACGCTGAGTAGCTGGAGCACTCTCTGTGCTCTCGGGAGACAATCCACTTCCCTCGGCATCGCTTTGGATGAGACCTGAAATGCCATTTTGAGAAAGATGAAGGGAAACTTCGATTCCCTCACCACCTGCGTGTTTCTGAGTAGGAGCTGGTCCATTACGGCGGTTCGTGCAACGACGTTTCTTTTCAGATGGTTTTCTAGGAACATACTGATAACCTGGATTTTCTTCGGCATGCTTTTTCTTGATTTCTTCAGCAAGTGCCTTGAAGTGTGCTTTCGTCTCAGATGATTCTGCCTTCCATTTCTTCCCCAAGAGAACAGCTTGTAAAGTCAGTAGAGAGTAGATAAGATTATATTTTGTTGCTAACTCACAAATGTCATTGTTATGGTACTCAGGATGCGCTGCCTTAATGACAGGATGATGATGTTGGCGATACAGAATGAAGGCATTTGGCGGGCGAGGGACTTTTGGAGCCTTCACTTGACAAATGATGTCTTGACTGACAAGCTCATTGCCATTTAATGGCTGTGTAGCTATGCTGCGGTTATTGGCAGCCAGACTCATTGGCAAAACAGCAGCCCCGATCTGGCAATCAAATGCAGGAGTTGGCATGATGCGATAGACTCTGTTCACGCTGTCCTCGAATGCCACAACTGGCGTGTTCAGTAATTTTCTGTCTATCAGTTAGACACCGAGCTATACATATGAGCTTCAGATTATGACTGGGATCACACACTCTAAACGAGTCTTGATGACTTCGATGCTTGCTCCTCCGACAATGGAGCGAATATCAATTGGGAGAAGAATCTCGTTGTTTGTCTTCTGCAGATGGCTGATGGCATGCTGCCACAGGAGCTCGGTTACAAACTCAACCGACCCAGATGCTGGCATCGGCATGGTCCCAGAAGTAGTGGCCATGATAATCGACCAGCAGCAATCAGTGCAGCGACAAACAAGGCTGAATATGACGGTTCGATCTGGATATTAAGGCGATATAGTGTATGTAAGAGGCAGATTTGTTGTTGGCAGAAGAGAATATGAACGAGGAAGAGAGCAAACGAAGAGAAAAGCTCGTGCGTTGACGGGCTTGCTTCGAGGGCCTCCAGAATGAGGCAAGTTGATAGTTTCTTTGTTTATCAGTTATCAAGAGGTGAATGAAATTGGAGCGTGGTTGGATACGGAAAATTACCAAACTGGCTGGGGTTGTTACGGGGCTCGTTTAACCATTTACCGTACTGTAATCAAGCTCCACTTAGTTCCATACTATAGTTAACTGAGTTAATTTCACTGCTACTTCCTCTCCTACTTCCTCTGCCAACCACAACATACATCTAAAAAGTTCATAAGACAACCCATCAACGACTTGATCCTTGATAACTTATTGAGATTCGACGGAGGCAACGGCTTGTTAAAAATTCCCATAATGGATACTTTCGAGGCATACGAGACCAACAATCGTGGGATGCATAACGAATTCGCCCGTTATCTCGGTTGCAACCCTTCAGAACCAGAGTCCCCGATGTCAAATACCAGCATGGAGGGCGTTACATTTGGGAACGGTGGTAATGATCAAGAAGATTCTTTTGGTCATACCCATTTTGAGGTCTTGAACAGACTTATCGAGTTATACAGGGTCCAGCCGGATGCAAGTGACTTCACTGGAAAATTGCTGAAGTTTTCCGACAAGCTTGAGATTCCCGAGCTGAATGGAGAGATCCTAGGAGAGAATGGGCAGTCAAAAGACCGTCATCGCGAGATCTTCAAGGCCCATGCACGGCTGTTCGAGGACGAAGCAAACTACCGCCTTTTCCAGCACGTCCAGGAGCATGGACCGGCTAGTATCTACTGGAGAGCCTTCCGCGAGTACTTCACTGGGTGAGTCTACTTTCCATCTTGTCTAGCAGAGGCATGTATGTAACTAACAGCTTTACTGCAGGGAAATCATCAATATGGTCGAGTCGCACTGGCGCCCTGATCCTCGCTGCGCCCAGGTCCGCATTGATGCCCACAGCCTGTCCTACCAGGCTATAAACGAAGTCCCCTTCATGTCTACTGCAGAGAGAAACTTGGTCATCAGAGCTACTGGGAGCTACCCTGAGGACGCCATGTCCTTCTGTGAGTTTTCTTCTCCTCAGGTTACATACCCTGAACTGGAGCATGGCTGATAGGGATATAATATAGTTACTTGGATGACGAGGAACCGCCTTACATATCTCATGGTAAAGGAGATGTCGGACCTGTTCTTCTTTCGAATAAGAACACTGGCTGGACACGAGATTGACCTCAATATGGAGAGAGAGATGGCCCGCATGGTCAACTGGGCTGAACACCAGTAAACTGTGGTGATGGTGTAAGAGGACATAATGTACATTGTGAAGGGACATAGGGTCATAAGAATATAAGAAGAAGATGGAAGCATGCAATAGCAAGATGTAAGATGACTAGATGGCTACAGGAACTGATTTCACTTTACTCTTCACCTGTGTCTCAACTATCTCGAGTAACATCTATCTCTCTGCTGCCTTGTCTATCTCTCCATGCGCTACTGGTGAGTTGCTATAGAGACTGACTTGCAAAGTACCGTATCCTAGGAGATAAGTGAGTTGCCATGGGGACTCAGAGAGGTTGCCATAGAGACTCTGTCCACTTCACTGCTTCTCCCATATCCATCCCGATCTATATAGATCTATGCTCTGATATCTAGATCAGGACCCAGCTTGATGAGATGGAGTAAAAGCAGATCTATCAAGTAGCATGCCATCTTACCGCTGCAAACCTATCTCCCTTTTCCTTTTTTGGTGGCATCTCCATCTCTACAATGCCTTCTATCAACGCCCTCTGGCTATGCTGTCTTTCCATGTCGTCGCCATGTCAACCCCCTGTTTTGATGACTAATCTTGTCCTGCTCCCTTAGTCAGCAGCCATGCGGGGGCGGGGAGGCCGGAAAGGCGGCCGTTACAAGCGCGTTACAAGACGTAACTTACGCCCGCCAGAGTTTTCCCGTCACGCCGTTACCGACGTTACTAGCGCCCCTTTTAGCTTTCTTTCAAGGGGACAAAGTCTTTGTCTGCTTTCCCAAAGCGGAAATGGGGGGGCTGGCGGTAGATTCTTCAGGGAGACTGGCGGGCGGGGGAAAGGGGGGAAAAGAGGGGAAAAGAGGGGGAAAGAGGGGGTGGAGGCTGGGAGAGAAGCAGCTGGAAAGATCGCAGTGACAGCGAGAGGAAGTTGGGGGAAGAGGATGGGCAGGACATCCTGATAATGGAATGGAGATAAGGGCGGAGTTTTTGGACCCGGGAGATCGACGGGATTAGGTAAGCGAGTGGTCGCTTAGCGGGGGCCACACGGACCAGGAGCCACAGATATTTATAGAACTTAAGCGACGAAGACGGCGAAAAATAGTCGACAAAGACGCTGAAGAGAAGCAGAAGAAAACGGGAGAGATGCTAGCCTGCTTTTTATATATTACTTTACGGGTGGATTCGATGATGAGTGATGTGTTCTACCCGGTGCTGTGGTTATGCTAAGGCAGCCATGGGTCAGGCCTTGTCAGCTGCATGCTGCATCACATCATGCGAGGTGATGGTGACTGCAGGATCGCCCAGCCAATAGACTGACCCTGCTAACCGCCCAACCCTGCCAGTGACAGCGGCCATCGGTGAACAGGAGTTGGCGATGGAGACGGGTTCTAGAACAAGACTCGTCCACGCAGGTGCTGCATCAACCTTGTTCCGTTTGCAGTCGTTGGAAGGCTAATTTGTACGAGGGATTAAAGTTATACAGGACGAGAAAGTCTAGTGACAAGATGCGATACAGAGTTCATGGGTCAAGGAGCATGGCATTTTAGCGTAAAATAAGTTTGACATTGCTTCGTTAGGATAAGACAACCACCCGTTTCACAGAGTAGAACAGAAGACTACCGAGTCAAAACATAAAACGCCTGCTCCAGGGATGAAAAAAAAAGGGTGTTTTGTGAATATATTTTTATTACTCAATTTTTTTGGTTTTTTTTACAGCGACCAGATAAACTCTAGTTAGCCATGGCACGGCGGCGGTCACGCTCCTCAGCAATGGTGAGCTAGGTAGATTGGTTAGTACACAGACACCACATGCAAGTAACAAAGGAGGGATAAGAGAACATACCTTGACACCCTTGCCCTTGGGCAAGCTGACCCAGGGCTTCTCCTGGCCGATGACAAAGACGTTGCTCTCACGGGTAGCGAAAGTGTTGTCAATGGCATCCTTGATGTGGACAATGCCGAAACCACCGTCGTGACGCTCACGGTGGGTGATGACACCGACACGACCCATGTTACGACCACCAGTGGCCATGGCAATGACACCAGTGTCGAACTTGACGAAGTCAGTGATCTTGCCAGTGGCAATGTCAATCTTGACAGTGTCGTTGACACGGATGCTTGGGTCTGGGTAGCGGATGCTAGAGATAAGACGTTAGTTCATAGTCAAAAATGGATGAGACAAATGTCATGTTCATAATATATGAACGCCGTTGCCCTTGACAGACCGAAACAGCAAGCAACAGATGTTGTTGTTTGTGTCAATCCGACAAGAAATGCCAATGGTATGATGGTATCCCGTCATCCGTCTCGCAAACTTCAACTGCCATCTCCGTTCGCTCCACGCACGACGGGAATCAAACCAAACCTTGGTCCAACGACTGAATGACGCATAAAACAAGAGTGCAAAACTCACGTTCTAGCATCGTGCGTAACCAAGAATGGGATTCCACCCTTGCCCAGCTGGACACGCTTGACCTTGCCAAGCTTGTATTCGGCCTCCTCGGCCTGGATACGGTGGACGGTGAAACGGCCCTTGGTGTCGTAGATGAGGCGGAAGTTCTCGCCAGTCTTCTCGATGGTGATCACGTCCATGAAGCCAGCAGGGTAGGTTGAGTCGGTGCGGACCTTGCCGTCGACCTTGACCAGGCGCTGCATCAAGATGGAGTTGGTCTCGCGGCCATTGAGGGCGTACTTTAGACTGCTGTGAGTTAGAAATGATCCCCAACAGAGAAGCCTGAGGGAGGGGGGAAAGAGGCAACAAACCGGTTACGGAGGAAGACAATGAGGGGGAGACAGTCTCTCAGCTTGTGAGGACCGGGGGATGGGCGAGGAGCGTAGGCTCCGGACAATTTGTCCAAGAGCCAGTGCGATGGTGCGCTCAAGCGCTTCTGGTGCTTCTTTCTGCTGTGCCGTTAGCATTCGTTCTTCTTATTAATTAATACCATGGAGAGCAGTTTATACGTACGGTCCACGAGCCATTTTGATGTATTTGTCGACGTTGGAGTTGGGCTTGTCAAGAAGTCGTCTGTGTCGCCTGGTCGCTGGAGAGAATGAAAAAACTGTCGATGGAAGTTGAAAATGGGAAGTTGTGGATTCGCTAGCCCTAGCCCTAATTACTTCTTTGGTTTTGCTTATGTAAGTTTAATTAATAAGCCACGCTTAGTCATTCGATCTGATTGCCGATTGGTTGTGGCCGTCTCAAGTCGAAATTCTTTCATCTCCTTTTATCTTGGAACATGCCATAGACGGGATAGAAAGATCAAAAGACATGGATGGCCATAAACACGAGTTGCAGCAAAACACTGATATTTCCATAATTATCATGCGATTCATATCTAAATACAGACAGCCTAACCCAAGCTTTTAGCTTCTAGACAACCTGCCTTGATAATACACGCTATTCAATAACTACATCAGTTAGCCTCCCTGTAACTAAACGACGTAAAGCCGACCATATCATGATACTTATGCCGAAAAAATTAGATAAAAAGAAAAGTATGGAAAGGTAGGAAGAAGCCGAGAGTTTTCACTTCTTTGATTTCCTTTCATCCTCGCCAGGCACTGCATCGAATATCTTGCCAGGATTCAGCAGCCATAACGGGTCAAGAGATCGCTTGATGCTCCGCATGACATTAAGTGTGTCCATGCCCAGCTCTTTAACTAGATATTTCTTCTTCCCTAGGCCAATGCCATGCTCACCCTATGCAATGTTAGTTTTGATATACGGGTTGTAGAGGTTTGAGTTTAACTCACAGTGCAAGATCCATCCATCTCCAAAGCTCTGTCGACCATGTCGTGGACGCACTTTTCAATTCTGGATACTTCCTCGGGATTGTTCCTGTTGTATACTATACCTTCATGGAAATTACCGTCTCCAATATGGCCGACTATACCGGCAAATAAGTCTAGTTCGTCAAGGTCTTTCTTCGAAAGCTCTGCGAGAGATACATTAGAGGGCAAGTATATCGGCAAGGAGAAGAGTGAACGTACCAATGATATCAGGAAGTCTAGACAATGGGACAGCAACATCCGTAGACCAGACGTCATCTGAGCCTTCTTTGCGAAGAGCCAGCATGCTCCAGAGGGTTTGCTTTCTGGCAGACCACAGCTCATGGCCCTCCTGGTCTGTCCTTGCAAACTCAAACGACGTGCTATTATGCTCTCTTGCAATTGACTTCGTCCGACTAATTGAGTCAGCTACCCCATTGCGAGTGCCGGAGAACTTGAAGAAGAGAGTCGTCGCAGGTTTCCAAGTTCTGTTTGTCCCACCAGCTCTGTTGATAATATCCATATGGACATCATCCAGTATCTCGACGCACTGCACCTGCACGCCCGAACGTATCACCGCCATGGCAACGTTGGCTGCATCTCTTATAGATGGAAACGTAGCAATTCCCACTCGAGTTTCCTCTGGAATGACGGCTAACTTGAGCGTGGCTTCAGTGACTAGCCCGAGCGTGCCCTCTGACCCAACGAATATGCCGGCAAGGTTATACCCTGCCGAGCTTTTCCGAGGCCGGTTGCGCGTCTTGATCACTCGACCGTCGGCTAGCACGACAGTCAGGTTTATAACCCAGTCTTTCATAGTTCCGTATCTAACAGCGTTTGTACCGCTGCAATTGGTACCAACCATACCTCCGATCTTAGCTGACGGGCCCGGATCAATGGGGAAGAACAGACCGGAATGTTTGATCTGTTCGTTAAGTTCCATCCATTGAATCGAAGGCTGCACCACAACGTCAAGATCATCGGAATGTAGTTTGATTATCTTATCCATATGAGCGAAGTCGATGCTCATGCCACCGAAGGGAGCCGAAAAGTTTCCCTCGAGACTCGACCCACCGGAGTAGGGAACCATAGGCACCTTGAACTTGTAGCATACTTGAGCTATCTTGGAGACATCGGCGGTTGATTTGGGATATGCCACGGCAACTGGTAGCTGGTCACAATTGACTGTTGACCATTCAGAGTATCCGTGTAGCCGTAGGTCCTCGTCGTCGGTGCTAATGGCGTCTTCACCTAGCACTTCTCGTAATTCTACTATTGCCTTATCAAGTTGAAAAGGTCAGCCATTGGTGTAAAACAAACACATATCGAGAGAGGATGGAAGAGTATTAACCCGTTCAAAGTCCTTGATCGAGCCATAGACAGGTGAAACGTCATGTTTGTAGCTCAACAAGCCGAGAGAGGCAGAACCGGAGTTATAAACACCGAGTGCATACCCGGCACCGATAGCAACAGCCAGAGCACCGACGACCTGGCCTGTCTTCCACAATAAGCCTGGCGACACTTCAGCTCCTCGTCCAGCTGCGGTGCTAGTCCAACAACGCACTATGTTCTGCCCATGGTGCTGGTGCTGCTGTCTTATCGCCCTCAGCCCGCGCGGGATCGCCCTGGCAGAGAGCCGAGGAGCGAAGTTCATAATGAATTTAATATCAGTCTGAAGCCCTGTTTGATTGCGTCCGGATACATGAAGAGCAGCCTTGCGTATTATAGCTTTGCCTGTAGAGCTCTTTCCAGCCTGTCAGCAGGTAGTCCGTCAGTTTCCCGTCATTATAACAAGCCAGAGACAACACTCGGGCCCTCTGTTGGTTCCATCATCGGCTATCTCGGCGGCACCAAAGATGCCGACCCTTGCGCTTGGACCGGGGGAAAAGCCGGCCGAGTTTGATGCCAAGACGTCCAAGCTCGGAACTTAAATAATATGCTTAAAAACTTGTTTATGCCAATATTGATGACGTTGATGTCTATATGATGTAAAATAAATATACTGCATACCGTAGGCAAATGGGAAGCGCGAAGCAAGCAGTTTTATATAGGGATATCCAAAAAAGCAAGACAACAGGATATAGTGCGAGACATGGAACAAGATTCGTTAAAACACCCCCGAGACCAAGCCGAAGTACATGATGGAAAACAAAGGAATAAAAGACAGACAGGAAAAATATTACTCGACAAAGCCCTTGGTCACGCTAGGCGCTGAAGAGTTTTTAGCAGAAGCAGTCCTGGTCTCGATGTTGAGTAGAGTGCTCTCGACAGCAGCCTGAATATCAATGTGGAAGAAAGGACGGTTGATGCTGTGTACATTTCCGACCCGCCGGGGTAGAGGGTGCGAGGAAGAATTGATCGGGGTGGTTATAACCTGAGTATGGGCCTTCTCATCCTCGTACTCACCGTCTTCGGAGGATGGTGCCTGGCCAATCTCCAGGTCATCTGAGGGAGCAGTGGGGTTAGACGATGCGTTGGCTCGATGAGATGTACCAGGCTTGTCATTTACGACTTCCTCAGCTCCCACAGCAGCAACACTGAAGATAGGTCGCCAGTTCCCGAGAAGCTCAGGAGACTTGGGAGACGGGTAACCAAAGCCAGCGGAGGCAAGGGCGCGTTTGGTCCAGCGGTTGGAGATGCAAGCAAAATGCCATTCTACTATCTCTGGAGCAGCATAGCGGTCGAGTTGGTTACGGACGTCGATTAGGCCCTGAATGGAGGACACATCGACGTGGTTAACGGAGGAGAAATCTAGAATGATGGCCCGGAGAATGGGGCGGGTGTCGTGAACATTAACAACTTCACCACGACCTGGGCCAGGGTCGTTCCATGGTCGATCCTATTCAAGTTGTTAATTAAGACAGTGATTAAAGGTGAGTGGAAATGTAGAACATACCCCGAGCTTGGCGAAGGTGTCGAGCTGGGTGCGTCTGGTAACCTTGAAGATGTATTCTGTCAGGTGGTGCAGGTAGCGACCTTCATTAGGATAAGTGAAGCCTTCATTGAATCGGTAGATAAAGACACCTGGATGAGGAGATTGGGCCTCAATCAGAGGGTTCGAGCCGTCCTGGTGTTCAACCGGGAGGAAAGCCTCCCGAGAGTTCAACTTGGCATCTTCACCGAACTTGTCGCTCTTCTTTAGGCTGTCGTCCTTGGTGACTCGATAGACCTTGACCTGGCCAAGGAAAGTTCCCTTCGCTTTGGCAATGCGATAGATCAGTAGAGCAGCGGAGGCAGCAATAGTGAGGTAAATGCCGTTCTCAATTTCGGTAAAGATGGTGAGCAGCACACCTCCGAAGAAGATAAATACTTCAAGCGGCGAGACTTCCCAGAACTGGTAGACGACGTTGGGAGGCGTGATCAAATCACCAACAGCGTGGATAATGAGGCCAGATAAACTAGCAAGAGGAATGTAGAAGAAGACAGAGGTAAGGGCATAGAGGGCTAGAAGAACAATAACGGCAGTGAAGATACCAGCAAGAGGAGTGCGGACACCAGCCTTCGATTTAATAGCCGTTCGGGAGAAAGATCCAGTGGCAGGATAGGCACCCAAGAAAGGGCCGAAGAGGTTAGTAAAACCCATAGCGACGAGTTCCTGGGATGGGTTGATGACATAGTTGTTGATTCTGCCAAATGACTTGGAGATGGCGATGTGCTCGATGATGAGTACGATGATTGTTGCCGGTAGATCGGGGGCAAAGGCTTTCACTAATCTTGCCTCAATCTCGGGGACACCAGCATGTTGGAAACCTATTCAGTCAGTGTATGATTACTACAAAATGTATTGTGATGAGACACACCTTTCGGAACAGGCCCGAGTATCTTGAACTTAGCCTTCTTGTAATCCTTGACATGTCTGTTGACGAGCCAGCTGATCATGGTATAGAGCAAGATGACAAAGGTCATTCTCAGGGTAGAGATGAAGAACCACATCTTGCGTCTATTGGGTTGTCTCTGGGACATATAGTTGCAGAAGAAGCGAATGACATAGAGAACAACGAGAGCACTCAGGCCCATGGCAGCATCAAGTCTGGTATGGCCTAAATTCTTGAGGACATTGATGAAGACCTTGTATGTTGACTCCCTGTTGTTGACCTCCTTGAGGCCCATCATGGCCGGAATCTGGCCGACACCGATAGAGATGGCGGCACCAGTCATGAAGGAGGTGATGGCAACCAAGGGGATAAACTCAACTATCCAGCCAAGTCTGGTAAGGCCAATGAAGAGCAAGAATCCACCGGCAATGAGGGAGAGGGCTCTGGCAATAGTAGGAGCTGAAATATCGGGCTCCTTCGCCTGGACCTTGGTGACGATGTTGCCGACGATGGTAGACATGACTGCGACGGTCTGGAGTCATGTTAGTTTTTACCCTGCAATTGATGAACTGGCTCAATCAAGGTTGTTGGGGTGCGTCTACTTACTCCTATCGTGATATCCTTTGAGGTGGCGAAGGCCCAGTAGAGGATGAAACCGACGAAAGAGGTGTATAGTCCATATTCAGGGGGGAGTCTGGCGAGAAGGGCATAAGCCATGCCCTGAGGCACGACAACAAAGCCGACAGTGACACCTACACCATTAGAATGCCTGTGTGTAGATATTTCAAAGGAAGAGAGGAAAACGGCTTACCGGCAATGATATCGCCCATGAGCCATTGAGTGTTATAATGGAAGATCCAGTTCCAGAAGGGAAAGAGAGAGTTGAAGTAGTCGACTGTGCCCTTCACCGTAGGCGAATGGTTCCTCAACCACTCCTTTGCCGATGGCTCATCTTCGTCGAAATGCTCCAGCGACCGTATCGACTCGGCAGCCGTGCGCATCGACTCCCGGGGCTCCTTTCTATAGTCAACATCGATCCCCACGGCCTTCGCCAGGGTCCGGCCGAGCTTGCTAGCAGGCATGATGACTATATGCTTCTGGTTCCGCTGTCCGCTGTCCGCTGCTACTGCTAGACAAATGGACACAGGCTGATGGAGAAACACTGCCAGGTGAGGTAAGTCTGGCGGTATTTATATCTATACCAGCGGACTATATCTCGCAGCGGGAAACGAGACAGACGGTTGACTCGAAACCCTTGGCGAAAGAGCTGTCCATGTGGTAGAAGCCGTATCAAACCATGCGCTACCGGGGAGACGGGAAAGCAAACGACAAAAGAAAACGTGCTGGCGTTCTGATTCCATATATTTTTTTTCCCGCCTCTATAGTTCTGGGTGTCTATCTCAGCCGGTTTGTAGTATGTAAGAGATGAAACCCCTGTAGCGTCATACATGGCCGCCCTGTCGTCAGCTGCAACTTGGCAAGCGCGAGAAGCCTCCTGGCGCAAACGCTAAACGAGTGCAAAACCTTGAGTTCAGACCATCGATCTTCGCTCGGGGAGCTTCCACAATATTTCCGAGTCCGTATATAGACATATACAGGCGTCCATCGTCCAAAAAGACACCGTGTTGAAGGGCGGTGTTGCTTTTTCTGCTCCAGCTGCATGGGCATTCCTCGTGGACGTGGTAAACTATTCTTGCGGACTGCCATGTGGAGAGAACCCGAACCTGTCTTCCTTCCCACCGAAGCAGAGCATGCAAAGCTGGCTGGAAAAGGCCAGGATCCTTCGACAGGGGCAGCAGTCGGGACTCAGTCTGGAGCAACATCTCGACTCCCAAAACACTGTGTGTCCGGCGTCTTAGCACACCAAGCTGCTGTATATACCCTCCGTCCTAAAGCGCCCAAAGGCCCGCCAGGGCAACCATATCACGTTCGAGATACGCCACTAGGGAGAAGAAGAAGCCTTGGAAATATTAAACGAGACGCCTTGGAAACTCTTGTTGAGGTTTGCCTTTCTTCTGTCTGGTCTGCTTGATTTGTGTGGCTGCGGATGTCGTGATTCTGATTGAGCTGTGGTGGGCCATAGAGTTGGCCAAGTGTTCCTTATCTTTGGCCACTGTAACGATGCAAAATATCTCATGCCGGCAGCGGCAGCCTTAGCAGCTCTTAGTATAGTCAAGTAGCCTAGGTACTCTGTATACGGAGTCACTAGCAGTGCAGCAGAGCAACTAGTTAGACGACTGCTGCTGCGTCGACCCCTGCTGGCCGTCTCGGGGGAAGGTCGGAATGCCTCCCTCGCTTTTTATAGACACAGGAGGCAAGGACACGGAACGGCTGAAGATCGCAATGACTGGCCGTCTCTAGTCCTTGGCTGCAACACAAGCTTAAAGAAGCGTAAATAAACCCTTCTGTCCAAGTGGACGGGCTCCGTACGTACCCAATACTGTCGAGGAGTATCGCGGAGTCCAGGAGAGCCACCTGGTGGTTCGAGACACGGGGCAACGCCCACAGCTCCATGCTTCCACGATGGACCGCCTGGAGAACAATATGTATAACCACCATCCCGCCGCCAGATGCTCAAACAGCGGTGGAACAGCGTTCCTCGTCTTGGACTGTAGCACATCTCCCATCAGAGTCTGAGGAATGCCCCAAGAGCCGGCCAAGAAAGACTCTTAGATTAATCCTGCGTCCACCGCTCTCAACGCCCGTCTTCGTCTCGTCTTAGCATCTTCCTCCGTCTTCTTATTATTAGTTATCGTGATCATCGTCGACAAGTCACACGGCGTTGCCGGTCTCTCTCTCCTTCTGTCTCTCTTCCCTTTCATGTTCCTTTTTTCTTCTTGTTGTCTGCCACTGCTATGGTGGTATTTTTGGTATACGATGGCATGAAGCTTCATCCCTGGCGCAAACCCAACCCGAGACCCCGGGGCGAGTCCGAACATACAGTTTTTGAATCCTGCCACAGACGGGGCTCCATGTCTGCATAGCAGACCCCAGAAAATTCCCGCTTGGCCGTTAGACGCTAGGTGAAATTAGCTAGTTACCTAGGCCTTTTCTCAGTGGCTTGACTTCAGCATTTTGGCTCACGCGGCTTGACTAGCGGACGGCGCTCGCGAAGCCTTCAGGCCATCCAAGGCGCTGCCCAGCATCGGCGCAGCTGGCAGAGACACTCACGGCATCGGGAATCGGTAGACATGGATCTGCTCCTCGTCTCCGTTCTCCGTTCTTAGATCTCGGGACGCTTTCGGGACAGACAGAGAGGTTTGGGCGGTCCTGTGTGTCTTCCCCGGCTTTGGCGTCGCTATGGTTGTCCCGTTCGATCTTGCATCCTTGCTGTGTGGGACACGAACGGAAGCGATAGTCTGATGCAAGGCTCTTCTCCACTGCCATGCCTAGCGGGCTGGAGAATGATGGTGGACAACCGATCGCGATGTTCTGTGTGGTGACCGTTAGTTTGCTGCTTGATGTTGAAAGCGACGGACGACGTTGAAATATATATCTCCATCTCGTCGTTTCTTTTGGCTAAACAGGGGGTTTAGACGCGGTGCATGGCCATCTCGGACGATAAGCTGTAGCTATACGGGCTGCTCTCCCGGCCGAACCAGGGCATCTTTTCTACGCATATCTAGATGTTCAACGTCGTCGTTGTCGCAGTAGTTGGATGTTTTGTATAGCATTTTTAGTGCATGATCCTGGACCTCCATATTCAGGCGGAAGAGATGGATGCACCCTTTACGACCCCCTATGGGGCCTTGCTTGGCCTCTTGTTAGGCTTCTGAAGCAGAGGCGAACAAGATTATGGCTTAAGACCCCTTTTTGCTTGGGCTTGTTTGCTTTTTCATGGCTTGCGAAGCTGATTGTCTGCTGAAGAATTGCTATGCGAGACTGCAGATGCTTGAATATTGAACACACTTTGATTGGATTAAATATTACACTGCAGACACACGATCAGATTCTCAAGTATATCTAGTATGCTTACATACCTTTTTATATGTATGGTCATCCGTTAACTTAGAAGAATCGATGCGCGATCCGCTTTAGGAAAGATGACTGCTTGATCCGGTCTATCTCACGGTTGTGCTCCTCCCAGTCAATCTCACGGCGGCCGGTGTCGATGTCGATGTCCTCGATTTTTGTCCAGCCCTGTCGCTTCCAGAGCCAGCCGCACAACCAGAAGAAGAGAACTACGGGAAGAGCGAGGTAGGCCTTGAAGAAACCTTCGGCCGATGCCTCACCCTTGAGCGGGGATACTGCGATGTAGAACTATTACCAGGGGTCAGACCATTTCCATCCACACATTGAAGT